TAATAAAAATATAATATGGATTTGAAGCAATATATAACCCAGGTAAACTTTGGGTACTAACCTAGTTAAATTAAATAGATTTATTTTAGATAAGTATTGGTAGGCACCAATAAGCCAAAAGGTAAATACCCTAATATATGAAATTATGATATTCCGATAATTTCCTCGCGTTTGAGCAGTAGTCAGTAGATTGGACATTTCCCTCCCCCGTTTAAAACACAGTATTTCGATAAAATTAAATGGCAATAATGATAATAATAATAACAAAAACGATCTTTTGATGTTTTCTATTGAAGTAATAGTTTTTGCAGAAAACATAAGCAATACAAATTTGAAATAAAGGAATTTTAGCGCCGTAAATTTATCAGTTTTCATTTTACGTTTTTTCTAATTTTTTAATAAAACTACTTTTAATCAAAAAACGACTTTCTTGATCACCAACAATATTAAAAATACAATAAAAAAGATTTCTTATCGTTTATTTATTGGAACAAGATTTTGTTAAAAGAACCATGGGTAAATTATAAAAATTATTATTATTACATTAACCATAATTATATTTGTAAGAAAAAAAAACGGGCATACTTCGCACATGCAGCTACTATTGTAGGTGGGAAGTTGAGAAAGTAGGATACAGTTGGGAATTCAATGTATATCTGTAAGCAACAATAATCCTTTGCTAAAGAAAAAACGATTCTGAACGGAGTTCAGTTGATAGTGTTGCTTTGTCAACTATATATATATATATATATATATATATATATGTATTTTATGATAAAATAATTACATAAACATTAGACATTTTTTTGATATTGTAGGCACCTATTTTCCCGTTTTGCCTTTTTTCCTCCATTTTTTCCGGTTTTTCCAATATATTGAGAAAACTCCTAAGAAATTAAAAATTGACCTCCCTAAAGTACCTCCCCAGTCAAATTTACTTTCCGAAAAAGTGCTATCATTGTAAATCTGAGCAAAATTGTGAGTATAAAAATTGTTCACAGGAAAAAATGGCCGCAATATTTTTATAGTGAAATAACCAGGTGAAATTCATCACTGATCATAAAAAAATAGAGTAATCATGTTACAATTATTATTTTATATCTCAAATATGTTTAATATTATATTTAATCTCCTTTTTATTTATCCCGAACAAAAATTAAAAACATAAATATATATAGAATTGATAATATGTCTGCTGTCTCTTCATTATACAAATCTAAAATTTTATTCCGATTTTGATGAAACTTTGCACGTCTGATAATTGACATTCAAATAAAGAGTAAGACCGTTGTTTACTTTATATTTAATAAAAATTCTAAAATTAAAAAGTTTTATCTCGAAATTAAACCTATACAAGTTTTTTTTGTGTTTTTGGAACGAAACAAACATTTTTTTTTTTTTTTTTTTTTTTTTTTTTTGTTGATTTATTGGTTACCTCGATGACGCGAATGAAAAAAACAGTTATAGATATATAAATATAGATGTTGCAGACAAGGAAATAAGTATCTACCATTTAAAAAAATTAATTGCCGGATTATGATTAACTATGAATTGAATTTGAATTTGTTTTATTAATTCTTGTTTTTGTAAGAATTAAGCCCCAGGAACACCGGGTAATTCAAGTATTTATAAATAATTAATACATCTTATACCAATTCTATCCTATATAATAGTAACCTACCTATATATATATATTCGCATTGTAGTAATTATTCGTGTCTATACCTATTATACTGTACACGAATGTCTAAAAACTGTACCATCTTATTATCACAATCATTTGCATATATACACAGTGCTACAGTGACGTAACTTCGTGGAGGAGATAATCAGAATAGATCGCACTCAAACCCATTTTTATATTAAATAATGTAGGTACTTTAGTATACCTATTCGTAAAGGTATTTATTATCGTCAAAACTCAAAAGTACTAGAACCAAACAACTTAGTTCTTACATTTTACGAAGTACGAATAATAAATAACTGGTAGGCGGGGTCGCGTAAAATACCCGAACATCCTTCACAACAGTATTTAAGCCGATAAATAATATACTCGAAAATATATTGTCATTTGTCAGAACCGTATTTTATCCAAAAAGTATACCATCCAAACCGTATTTGTGACAATAGTTTCTTGTCCAAAAAATATTTCATTCAAACCGTATTTTATCCTAAAAGGTTTCGTGGCTCATTACACCAGACGTCACATTAATACTACCTACGTACTTAGTGCATGATCTAAGGTAAAATCACTAAAATCCTTGAACCATCAAGACGTCAACCTTGAATAATTATTGTGATACCTATAGCTCACTCACACGCATAGCGCCCTAACTAAGATTAAGTTCTTCTATAGGAAAGCCTAATAGGAGGCCACAAACAATTTTTGGATAAAATATTATTGTGATAAAATATTTTCAAATTAAATACTATTCGGCTTAAATGGTAATCGGAATAAAAATCATCGGGAAAAAAATCCTCGACTACAACAATAACCACAATCACTTTTATATTTCTATTATAATTCTTAATCATTAACAATAATATTTTATTTTATATAACGGTATGTTTATAATATATCGATATCATAACTTACAAATGTTAGTGCAGTTTTCGTAATTTTACAAGAGAATGATTTTAAAGTTTATAATGCTATAACATATCGAAAATGTAACTTATGACCATAAACTTAGTATTATATTTTCTTTAACAAATAATGAGTAATTGGGAATAAAAATTATTATTCTACTTTAAACATATATAACAAAAAATAATAATAATAAATAAAAGAAAAAACTGTACGTAACACATTTGTACTCATAAAAAGTAATATTTATAAACGCTTATCAAATTTTGATTTTATCTTTAATAATGACTAACTTTAATATTGTTATAATATTATTACTTCTTTATATTCTATAGCAAATGAAATAACATTTTAGATTCTGAGTGGAGCGAAGCTTATAAAGCTTATGGTTTTACAAAGATGTTTATATTTATATTTTTTGTGGACAACTATTCTACCAGCAATTTCGCTCAAACTTTGAATGATAGCAAATTTTCTAAAAGAAAATTTTACTAGGGAGGTATTTAAGAGAAGTCGTTTTTCGATTTTCTCCGGAGTTTTCTCAGCAAATGTGGAAAGCTAGTAAAAAACATGGAAAAACTGGGAAAAACGTAGGAAAACCGAGGAAATCGGTACAACATTAAACAAATATAATTTAAGTACATATATAGAGCTTATTTAATTATTTTACTATACTATAGCTTATATATTGTTGACAAAGCATTACTATCAAATGAACTCCACTCAGAATCGTTTTTTCGTAAACAATGGTTTATCGTTGTTTACAGGTATACATTAAATTATCTATAATAGTGGCTGCATTCGTCCCAATTATCCTAGGACGCCTTTTTTACAGTAACCAGATTATGGCATAGGTATGGTAACGTCTTGTTAACTTAAAATAAAATACAATTGTGGGTTACTATAGTTACACGAATGAAATTAAAAACAATTTAACAACTATAACAACTTAAAATAAAGAATTTTCCGGACATAAGACTTTATCTCGATTAATGACCTCAATATTTTTTTATCGCAATGACTTATGTAGATCATTACGATTGTCCAGATTTATTATACTAATATAAATTAGAGTTTAAAAAATATTTATTTAATAATTTTTATGTGGTTTTGAGTAATATTGTAGTCTGTGGGTTTTTTTTTCCTAGGGGCAGACATTTTTTTTCCGCAGTTCATCGTCGGGGGTTTTTTCCGTGGATTTTTATTCCGGAATTTGGCTTAAATATATTCAATTAATTTATTTTCGAAGTTATTATTTTTGGACATGATTTTAGGTTCTAAATGGAGCGAAAAAGCCTATGATTTTACAAAGATGTTTATTATGTTTATGTTTGTTTTGTCTGTACGCAATTTGTCTACCAGAAATCTTGCTGTGATTTTTAAATGTAGCTACTTTTTTGAAAAGATATGGGGAGGTACTTTAAAGAGGTAATTTTTCAATTTTCTCAAGAGTTTTCCCAGAAAATGTGAAAAACCGGGAAAAAACATATTAAAACTGGAATAAATGTAGGAAAAATGGAAAAATCGATTCAACATTAACACAATTTTATTTAAGTAAATATATAATGTCCATATTTAATTATTTTACTATAATATGACATATATATATTGTTGATAAAGCACCAACTGAACTTGGCTCAGAATCATTTTTTCATTAACAATGGTTTATCGTTGCTTACATAGCATTACATGTGTACATAAAATTACCTGTAACAATTAACAATAAATTTAAAAATATTATACATCCTAAAATTACATATGAATTATGTAATTCATATTGTAAATTAAAATACCTATCTAAATTATTCATGTTTTATTCAAAATAATTTTTTTTTTATGAAACATTTTATTTGTCTCTGTTTTTTTCTTTAATAATCTGGTCACTTTAACTACACTTCTATGTAACTACGTGCTTAGCTAATGTACGTAGTTCTCACATCGGTACTATGCCACTTAAGAAGTTAGCCAAATTCATAATAACTAATCAATACTTCAATAGATAATTAGATAAAAGATTAGATACATAGGTACCGTGGTCGTCAAGGTGTATTAATCTAGATACCTTGGTAACCGCAAAATATATTATATCTAATATATTCGGTAAAATTGTATAACTCGGTATATGTGATAATTCCGGTGATTAAGTTTACTATTATGGTGTAACTCTGTTTTCATTGTGAAAAATTTAAAAACATTAAATCGTGCATAAATGCACATTATATAGGCAATAATTTGAATACAAAATTAAAAACACATTCATAACGGCGTCAAAAATCGTCTTTTAAGAGGAAAAAATTGTTGGAAATCATAAAGGTCACCGGAATTATGACATTGATAACGAACATACAGACGGATTTATTGATAACGTTCATTGATATCGACGCCATGATAACAGTATATTTTTTGTCAGATGATTCGGGCTTGTATCTCAGACGCAAAATGGCAAAGTACGGCGCAATGTGTATATTAGTCGTCGGTATTGTAGTCGACGTTAACTGACAGCGTTTCGATTTTTCCGAACTCTTCGAGTTTCTTACTGTATAGTGCGTTCTTACCTTAGTATTTGACACTAATTACAAAAGTTCGTGTACACCACCAGTTGTTTATCAAACGAAACGTTTTCTTAGTTTCCTGGTACATAATCGAGGCCATTGTCACAGAAATGGATTTTTCAATACACGAAAACATTTCTATTTGATGAACTAAAACATTCATTATTCTGTGAAGTAATATTTATATGTAAGTATGCAATAGGTAACAATAATCTATTCTGTAGTTCGATGCTGATACTGCCCAATCAAGATTTTGTTCTTCCATTGTAACATACACATTTGAAAAATATTTCAGTTTTTTGATACCTACACATCATTCATTTGTTAACTATTAGTTTACTTAATATTAATGTGTAAACTACTGTAAGTGCTTACTTATAAATTAATTACGGACTTTCCGCCTATATATTAGGTACTTATTGAAGTTTGAGTATTTAACTTGTTTGATATAAAAATTTAACTTAAACTAATATGATTATTAATTTGATTTAATGATTTATATTTTATAAACTAATGTAATGTTATTAAATAATAATTATTATTTTTAACCACACCCATTTGGAGATATGTTTAAGGGTATTTTTATTAAGGCGGTGTCACATGATATGTAGGTTTGGTCATGCAATATTTCTTTGTACTTTTTAAATAATTTGTAGAATTTGTAGAATGCTAAATTGATATAAACAATTTTTATAGTAGATGTATTTTTTAATACATAATGTAATTTTTTTAAATTACTTTCCATTTATTAAACTTGTATAGGTACCTATATCAATAAATATTTTTATTTGAATTCATAATATTATTGATTAAAAATTAATTCCTAATATTATGATTGTGTGGGGAAAGGTTTTGATACTGTCAGTAAATATCAAACCCTATAGAAACAATAAAATATACTAATTTATTATTTTCTCAAGTATTTATTTAAAAATGCATAAATTAATTATTACAGGTACTTACCTAACATAAAATATTAAAATTAAATTTAAAATCGTTACCAATTAGGATCAAGTATATCGAAATATAAGTAGTTCTATAATATTGATGAAAAAAAGTTATAAAAAAAGTAAAATCACGAATTGTGATACCTAAATAATATGTAGGTATCCTTGGTCATCGTTTAAAATAGTTAAGATCAATATATCATTGTATATGTACCTATAATGTGTATTTTCATTTTCAAAATAATAATAATTTTTTTTTTTCAGAAAGTTTACTAGTTACATAACGATGGGTGGAAAAACCACAAAGTTATTTCGAAACACAAGCCACTCTTCAAAAACACAGGATGAAAGTGATACTGAATTCCATGAGCAACTTCACACTTATACTGACCTGCCAGAGGAAACCAAAGAGGAGGAGACTATTGTTAAAAAACCTGTTAGCCCTTTTGTACATTATAGGAAGGGGTGAGAAAAGAAATTACCATTATTATAGTTATTACATGGGTTTTGGGCAAAAAAAAACTTTTCTGTTAGCTTCTTATTAAATACATTAAAAACTAAATAAAAGTAGGGTGTATAATTAATAGTATAAATAACATTGAGATGGTGAAAAACTAGTAACTAACTATTTAGTTTAGATTCTGATTCAAAAAAGTAGAAGGTCCCCGTCAAATATGCATTAATGTGATGTATTTTTTTTTATACTTTTGGGATTGGGTAATGGGTCCAATATGCGACCTACATCTAAAATGTAACATTAAAATACAAATTAATTTAACTAACCTGTAAATTAATTTCATGCATTTTTATTCTACTTCTCAGTGTCCTTAATTGAAATATTGTTACAGTCAATCATTGTGACCAATATGTCATCAAAAATGATTCATGGATTTTGACATAAATATATCTATAATAGGAGACTCCCTATTTTTTTTATATTGTACTTGGATTCTATAATTTTCCACAAGCCTTCAATTTGTTGAGTGTGTGCTCCCGTTTCCGGCCAATAAAAATTTTGAGTGGTTAACCATTTGATGAATGTATGTAATGTATGTATCCTTGATGTAATGTTGAGTACACCCTTCATTAGTTGCTATAGATTTTATTTCCAGTTTTTATTTCATTTTTAGTAATCAGTATATAATTTTCTCAGTCTTATTTTTCTAAAATAAAAAATCGGCATTCTAGTAGTAAGTCTAGCTATTTCCAACAAATTCCAAATACCAATGGACCTTGTATAAGATTTCCATCATTTTTTATTTATTTGTACTGTTCCATTTTAGTCATTAGTATTATTTATTTCTCTTAATGACTGATGGTCTCCCCACATTGTACGGTTATACAACTACAGTTATACTTTCTTTTAACTTGAAAAAGGGATTCGTCAATTTGGACAGTAAAACGATGACCACCCATTTTCTTTCTTTTTGAAAATCAATATACTGGTATATCTCTACAATGGTTATGCCAATCAATGATGGTGCTTTTGCTTCTACCAGTCCAATTTACAGTTTAATGTACAGAACTAAACAATATCGATTGGTAAGTCTGGAAACCTCATTTTGTACATAGTAATGTTATAATTTTTTTCATAGTCCATCAAAGTTTGTTTTTTTACTATTTCTTAAATATTCTATTAGTTGACCATTACATAAAATACCATCCTTTATCTTTATGCACATTATCCGATTATCAGCAAATAATAATCGTTGTTCTTTTAAATATTGAACGCATGTTTCTTCTGTTTTAATAATATGTTTACTAAGGTGACCAATTGTCGATGTCATTTTAAAAATTTAGTAATTCACAAAACACAAAAATTCAAAAGATAAGCGCACATGACTATAGTATTTAGCCTCAACCACTACTAAATCTAACATTTAATCTAATACATTAGTATTACCATTAACAATATGTTTACCCCAATCATCAACCCTCGTACTTACAATGTCTAAAGTAGAAATCTTTATTTCTAAACTGGACTTCATGAACAGCCCTCCTATTTAAAATTTTTTTAAAAAACTTGTCATCTATGACTTCATCACAAAACAAGTATCGCAACTTAAAATTCAATTCTTGTATAGCTGACCTTAATTTTCTTTTTTTTGGTAATATGTAACTAGTACCATGTAAATACTTTGCATTTACTGTGGCTTTGATACTTTGGGATCTGGTGTAATCTTTATAATATTTTGAGTGTACTTTTACATTTTGTTTGCTCACATTTATTAATGAATCTACACCTTTAGATTTTAAATATACTGCGTCACTTTTCGAGTTTATTAGATTTTCACAAATTCAACACTTACTTAAAGACTATCTACTTCTATTTTCTAATTTCAAATAAAAAATAATTTATGAATATTTAAAATTATATAAATTAGATTGAAAACAGTATTCGCACAATTAGTTTTATTACATTACAGGCACACGACTGAAGTAGATTAAATGATTTATGATTATCAAAGTTATTTAAAGAAATACTTTGTACGGTATTTCTATAGTAAGAATAATTATAGTATCTATGATATTTCATGTGCAATTATCAAGGTAAATATGTTCCCACAAAATATACTGCAAGTATATTTTTTATAGATAATTATCTCTTCTGTAATATAGTATGTAAGCATTTTTCTTATAAGCCTATGTTTGTCAAAATTGAGTCTAATTTGCCTGGACTAGTTAATCAATACAACCTTATCAGCAGGTCAACTAACATTTGTAGGTGGCATATTGAACTGTTACCCAAGATTGTCCTCATAGATTTGATCAAAACATAGTTATGAAAGTTATAAAGGTCGTACTCCTGTTAATTTAATATTACTATAGTAATATTATATTATTTGTTAAATTTTTTATATCATACCAAATTGATAAAATTATTGGATGGGATGAGATATCTTTTTATGAACAATGTGGTTTACTTCCAAAATTTCTTCATACATAAATATCTATATAGTACTATTTAATGGTCTAAGATCTCTATAGTTTATTATTTAATAGTCCACAATTCATATAGTACACTATTTTTATTTTAGCTAAAAGGCTAGTTTAATATGCATGTTTATAGTTATACATATCTTTCTTAAATAATTATAATATTATTTTAGTTGTGGATTATAAATAAATATCTAGTTAAATGTACAGATTGAGTGGATCCTTGATGAATTGAAATTCAAGGGAAATTAATTTTTTTCCACAATAAAGGTTTTAGGAAAAAAAAATTGACTTAAAGAATTTGTGTAACTTATTATCAGTTATTATTATTTACATATAAATTACAGTGTATTTAATTATTATTATTGCAAATTATGTAGTGTTACAACTTAACAAGAAATAATTTTAAATTGTATTTTGTGTTTGGTTTTTGCACATTCAATTGTCAATACTGAATGTAGTGGCAATAAACTGAATTAAATATAAAAATTACAATTAAAGTGATAAGATTAAATTATCTGCATAACAGGGGGATTTGACAAATGTGAAAAACTAACAATAAATAACCATTATTATCATCTATTTTCGAAAGAATGCCAAGGTTCCACTGTACATTATCCTTATATCTATATATTTTACAGCCAATTATGAATATTGGATAATATCAACTTTTGGTCTAATAAAACTGATTTTGTGCTTTTCTTTATGATATTAGAGTGAATTATTATCAAACTTAAAAATGAGAACAATTTTTGTGTGATACATTGGTTTTTTCCACAGTTTAAATTTTTTAATAAAAAAAAAAAAAACCAATTTAACACTATGTTTAACCTTTAAGTTTGATAATAAACCAATTCACTCTAATATTAAAACTAACAAAACAAAATTGGCACTATTAGCAATTTTTTTTTTTAACAAAGCTATCCAAATACTCTTCTGAGTGACCCATTTGTAATTGTAGTATTACTTAAGAAAATTAAAAACCTGTTTAATATTTGAGAAGTCTCTATATTATTATATGCTTCAATAATTTTACTGATGAATTTACATGATTGTTGTATGGAAAACATACTGATATAATAAACTTACAAATAATTGGGGAAATTAAGGAAATAGAAATGTGTAACTTGTCCATGGATACAGTTATCCACAATGAAGAATCAATTAATTTTTTTTAAAGTTTTAAATTAACAATTACCATTTGATATGCTTCCTAATAAAATATCATTTTAATTATTTTATTAAGAAACATAAATTTACCTAAGTTATCCAATAACACTAATTGTCATGTCGCATCTCTTATCATTATTCTAAAAAATGTAATTGAAGGTGAAATTTTGATAGGGTGTGCTATGGGAGAAAAGCTATTGTTAACAGAAATACTATTATTCCATAATAATATTCAGTTCAGAAGAGTTCAATTTCAATAAAAGTTTGCTTTGCAATGACAATAAATAAAGGGCTAAGTCAAACATGACCTCATTGTGGAGTTGATTAGAAAAATAACTGCTTTTCATATGAATAATTTATTATTTGTAGCATTTTCAAGAGTTGAAACAGCTGACTATTTATATATTTATGCACCACAAAATAAAACTGAATATATTATATCAAGAAGTTTTGACTTAAATTATTTGGTAGTATATTACTTTATTCAGAGTTCTATCTATAATATAATTAATATAATATCTTTTCCTTATCTGTAAATATACAAATCATTATGTTTCTGCACTACAGCAAAATTGTTTAAACAATAAGATAAATTAAATATAGTAGATATTACATTTTTGTTCAAAACTGCAAACAGGAATATTATATCTAGTAATATTATTAACACTTTTATTTTAAAATCGAACAAACACCATAATCTTTTTTGGTCAGAAAACAATTCCCATTGTCATTTACCACCATTTTTGACATCATAATAAAAATAGATGTGATTATATAGGAATTGTGAATTACAAAATATTTGTAACACCATAAGAAATTATTATTTTTATTATTTAGTCACTCATTCATATTGCAAACCAAGCTGAAATTGAAACAAGAAGAGTAAGCTTGAAATACGAGTAAATACTTATTAGATTATCCTTATATTATATATAAAAGAATAGGTCTTTTTTATGTTTTAATTTTGTAATGACACTAACTTTTTTCCAATTTTTTTTTCACTAAGTTGTTTCAAATACTTTTCTGAGTGTCACCACATGATTTTTCATTTTTCTTTTTTTTTGTCTGAGAGGGGGAGAAGGGAAATGTATTTAAAGGTTGTGGTTCTTTAGCATGTCATTTAAATAATTTAATGATTCTTTTTTTTACAAAGTTGTCCCAAATACAAGTGATCTATTATTTACAATTTAATTTATTTTTTAATTGTTTACATACTTTGTTGTTAGTAAACGCTGGCCAACAAATAAAACTATGGGCCTGTATGAATTCTCCTAGGTTAGGTTAGGCTCCATGTCACCTCTTTCTCAAAAATGTAATTGGAACTGACATTTTGACCAAAGGGGAGAAAACATATTTTTACTAAAAATAACATTATATCCCAATGATTTTCCAGTTCAGTTCAGAAGTGTTAACTTACTGTGGTGTAATTTGGAAAAGAACTGTTTTTCACATGGACAATTGTATGTAGCATTTTCTAGAGTTGGATGATCTGGCCATTTATATGTTTATGCCCAACAAAATAAAACTTTGAATGTGGTATACCATGAGGTTTTGACTTAAGTCATTTTAGAATTGAGTAACTCAGTATAGAATCATTTTTAATAATAATATGTGTATAGAATTATTAGAATCATTTGTAAATATTATTATTATTTTTTTTTTTTATTTGTTATTCAACTGCTACTACTGCTATTTAAAAATTGATTAAATTAAGTAAAATCAATTTTTTTTTTCTTTAAAACACAACAATGGGTGTTGAATTTAAGAATTTCATTTGGAAAGAGCAAAATGGATAATTCTACATATTCTGCATATCCAAATCTGGATAATTCAGCAAGTATGATATAAAAAAATTAGACATTTATAACAGGGCATTAAAATATTAGACTACAAAAATATTAAATATTTTTGAAAATAGAAATAATGCATAGGGATTAGGGACTACTAATTCTGTAACAAATGTGGCACTTGAGTATTGAGAATAACCTGTATGCTTTTTGCTGAAGTTTACTTGAGCATTAACAAATACTGTTGTGTAACTACTGTGCCAACAAACCTGTTACAGTTAGTATTACAGAATTCCAGTATATTATGTATTAAATAGCATTAAAATCAATGGATTTTAAAGACAATTTTAAAAATACTAGTTTAAAATGTTTAGTACTTTTTTTGTTTTTTGTCAGTTATATTCTTGTTTTTAAATTTTTTTTTTTTTAAATTATTGATACCAGGTTAGGTTACCTATTATTTTTTTACAGGAAGTAAATGGAAAAATAATTATTTTTCATTCTGTTGATGTCATATATATGTGAATATTGTTTCCCGAAACTAAAATATGTTAAAACATGTTTGCATATTTGAGAAATATCTTAGGTTTAAACTACTTGAAAGTAGTTGTAGTAAATAATAAAATATTAAAATATAAAATTATCTTGCTATTATGCTGATGTATAGAGAAAAGGGTTTTAGCAGTAGATCTTTTTACCAGAATTGTTTTTATGATATCTAGTCATGACTCAACATTTTTAGAGCTAAAATTGTGGGTGTTGGGAATAGATAATGCAAAATTTATTTAGATAAAGATAAAAGATAATAAGTGTGAATTTATCTAAATAAAGATAATGAATAAAAAAAACTTAAAACCCTGTTAACCTAAATCTCGATTTTAAAATTTTAAGGGTTGGTTATTTTCTGACAACTATCTAGGTAAGTAAACATTTTATCTTAGACAAATACTTAGATAACTTGGTTTTATTTATCTAGATAAAATAAAAGATGACTAAAAATACATCTAGATAAGTCCCAACACTATTGGTAGGTCACTGTAATAAATGGGAAGTTTAAATAATATAAGATTATATGAAATCCCAAATTTTTAATATTTATATATATTTTACTAAATGGAACAATCAAGGTGTTAAAATTGCAATCCATTAAAGATGATTATTTTGTTCTCATTGAATATTTAAAATGTATAAATTGATAAAATAATTTAATTTTGTGGCAGATCGATGTTTATAGATGAAGATGGTGATGTTGCCCATGAATTTTATGTAGAGACAAAAGTGGGGTCCAAAGTAACCTTAAAAAAAATCAGTAACCGTCATTTAACTCCTCAGGTAATATGAGAACTATGTATAAATAGTTTATTCTAATTTTTTAAATTTATTTGTGTATTTTTTTCAGGGCAATGTACGTTTAGATGTCCCATGCTTAAGGAACGATTATCCACTTATTCTTTGGGACCAGAATAAAACAAAAGAATAATTGGCTTGTTAACCAATAAAATATTTTGTTTCTGTGATATTGTTCTTTCTCTTGTTTATTTAAAAATACATTATACAACATATAATCTAATTTGCATCTAGTACAATTAATAATTATTTATACAACATAATATAGTACTTAGTTTAGAGTATTGGACCTCCAATAACTACTAATAACAAATATTAGTATGAGTATCTACTTACTTTTTTGATAACAATAGCATTTATATTATTTTAATTACAGTATTTACTGGAATTTAATTATAATTTATATTGCATATGTGTGTTTTGTTATATGTGTTTTATGTATATTTAAATAGTCATATAAATTTAGTTATGATTTGTTTACCAATTTATTTTTCATTGCCCAATAAGTAACAAATTATTGTTAATTTTTTGTTTTAATAATTTTTGTTTATATCATTGATGGTTTATATTTTATATTTTGTTTTCCTTTTTTTAATTTTTTGGTTTTTTTAAAATAATACCCATATTCATGAGTATTATGTTCATTATTGTATATCTGTTCATTATTGATGGTTAAATTGTAACTAATGATATAGTATTGTTAATTTAGTCATTTCATTAAGTACAACACTTAGAAATACTATATTATTATTTTGTTTGTTTTTAGTAAAATTAGTTATATTTTAATGTATAATATTATGTAATATATTTATTTCTTCATGGTATATTAAACTTTACACTTATTAACACTACAATTTATTATTATTTTTTTTTTTACTTTAATATAAAACCTAAATATTTTTAAATGTTTTACATTTGTTTGCTTTTAAATGTAAGGTATCTTGCATATCACAAGATATGTAAGATCATAATTTTGTTTTTATTTATTATTTTAGTTAGGTACTCTTATGAAAATATTAATTATTTTTTGTATATATGTACAGTAGAGTACCCATAATTTCTCATAGAAGAGGCAAAAAAAGAAAACAAACAAATTTACAAGTTTATTTCCTTTATTACAATAAAAAATGTACTGTATTTTGTCAATAAAATATGTGAAAATAAACTCCATACACCATAATAAAGTAACATGCACATGGCACAATTATAAGAAACCCCCCCCTCCAGAACTATTGCCAGTGGAGAAGGCCATAGCCACCTGCCTCTCCACTCTGGCTGTACTGTCCACTGTACATGTACAAAATAATAATTTTTAGGTTTCTGTATTTAAAATAGTACAGAACACATTAATAGTTGATAAGTTTTTAGTTTAGTATATAACCATTAACCATAGTTATTATCCAAAGTTTAGAGATAAAATATTTATTTAATTTAAACGCCTGTTGAGCCTGTGTCCTCTAATTTTGAACTCTGTATTTAAAAAGGATTAATAATGCTGACATGTTAAAATCTAATTATAAATTATGACTAATTTAATATACTGAAATGTCAAATATACATGTAGCTTAGTATGTATAATACAAAAATGTACTAACAAAATGTTATAATTTTAATTAAACCATAGAATTTTTAATTTATGAGAAATATAAATGGTTGTTTTAGTATAAAATGCATTTTATATTACGCTAAGAGTATTTTATTTAATCTTGAAATGTGAATGAACTACTTATCTTTATCTATAGTTAATATTATTTAACATTTTTAATTAATAATTATTATTCTTAAACTAGTCTCAGCTTTTACGTAGTTGCTTACATGTTAATTATAAACTGCAGTATTATATTTATAATGTTATAAATGCAGATTTTATTTTAAAATATTTTAGAAAATTACTTATTATTGCATACCTACACCATTAGAGTAAGTACTGGAGCAGGACAGTATCACAGATACAATTGTATCTGTATCTTTTTTTAGTTTATGTAATCTATCAATGTATGCATCTTGTATCAAGATATTTTTTACTAAACCTGTAACAAGTATCTTTTTTTGTTAAAAGATACAAGATAAATATTATTTGGTAATTATAATAAAAAAAAATTAAAATAAGGAAAAACCTAAAATGATTGTTCATGTTAACTATTTTATAAAAATTTCATTTAATAAACATCTAAATATATGTTATTGATTATCCTAATTTATGATATTTAATACAGAACATTTACCTTTATATATTATATTAATTAATTATTATTACATTTTGTGTGTACCTAATTTTAATCTTTGAAACAGTAGTTTGCTATAGTTATAATTATATTATTTATTGTAAATTAAAATAAATCTTATAAGTTATAATATATAAGCTGAATTATGGAAATTAAATATTACCTATGTGGATATATTATATCTTTTATTTATCTTTGATACCTATGCAATGTATCATATATCAAGATGAATTCTTAGTATCTTGCTCAACCCTGGTAGTTACATACCACCCCAACTTAACAGTTACCTATTATTTATTATAGTTCAATGATAATAATTAACTAATATTACCTATTTGTATAGTTTTAAATTTTCTTATATTTTATTAAATATCTGATCAATTTCTTGTCAAAATAAATGCATTTCAGTGACTGATTAATTAAATGGTGGTTAAGGGTACAATTTGAGTGGAGGCCCTAATAATATAAATATATTTCTATCATGGGTGAACTTTAGGGAAATAAGAATTCATATTCATATACCATTAGTTGTTAATAATTATTAAAATTACAGTAGAAACTGCTTATTAAGAACATTTTGAGATTAAGGTGAAATGTGTCAATTAAAGATTGTTTCTAATAAACGATTAGATTTAATATACCTAACCTAACGGTCCCTATACCTAACTGTGATTGTATAAATTATCTTTGTTTCTAATAAGCAGCTTCTACTGTATTATAAAACACAATTTTACCGCTGATTATTTGATAATAATCTGTACAGAACACCATCCTTTTTTTTTGAAATTATTTTTACCTGTACACTGTAGAGTAAGATCTAGCTAAAATAGACTTAGTCTAGTTATACTGCTATAGCTGTGTATGTACAATATAAAGAAATTTTGATAAATTTGCTCTAGATAGAACAGTCCTTAGAGCGTAAATAGCTAATCTACTTAGATCAATCTATGACCTGCAGACACATAGCCAGGGGAGCCTAGGTGGGCCGGGCTTAACTTAAATTTACTTTGGCCCAGGGCCGGCCCCCCCCAAATTCAAAATATAATATTTTTACCAAACTATCAAAAATGTGATTATGCACATTGAAATACATCTATAGTGATTACTACTAGGTAATACAATTATTATAATAATAATTAATTTGTATATTCGTGGATAATGTCATCTGAAAAAGATAAATAATAGGGTCTTGATAAAAATACCTGTTTTATAGACAATAATAGATTAGTCCTATCTAAGGGCAAAACTAAAAATTTTACCAACCATTAAAAAATATCAAATTCATTATAATGTTAAAGTAAATAACTCGATGAATCTAATTGAACTACTTGAAAAGTATAAGTTTGCATTCAATGAAACTATAGGTTAGTTATTATTATAATAGCTATTCCAGTATCCAGCACTGCATGCAAAAGAACGTTTTCATGTTTGAAACAACTGAAAAATTGCATGAGGAATCAAATAACAATAATCGTTTAAATAATTTGGCTTCAATAAGCAAAGAAAAAAAAAATTCTAGGAACAAAGATTTAGATATTAGCCTCTCTAGTGGAAATTTTTTGACTACGTGTCTGATGAGCTGTATACATTCGTACATAATATTTCTCTCGAGAGCATTTAGAATGTACTTGATGACAATACTTTGTATCAAAACGTTTTGCTGTTTGTTACAAGAAAAACAAGAAAAAGACGGAAATACTTCGCACTTCGCATGTCTAATAACATCTAGTTACAGGTATGGTTAAACATTTTTTTTTTCTAATGTTTACTATTTTATTTTTGTCATTTAAAATGAAAAAAAGTAATATCTAATTTAATTTCATAATATTTTAAAATAACTGCAGTACTATAATAATGAGTAATTGATACCATAAACTATATTTGTTTGTACTACTAAAAACATTATATTATAATTTGACTACCATTAGTTCATTTACCATTTGTCATTGGTCATAGGTGAAATAAACTTGCGACTTGACTGTGGTAGACAAATATTAAACAATAATAAAATAAACTAAAATAATTTAACTAAAATAAATAGATATCCACATGTTTTAAATGTGTTTCTTACACTCCACATAAGCATTTCGATTTATGTAAACTTACTTAAATTGGAATGAATAACAACTTAATCAATGATTTCAGCTCTAATATTAATTTAAACAACCCAAAGAACATTACTACACTAAATTTTATAAAATGTAAGTTGTAAGTAAAAAAGTTTTGCTCATTTATATATATAACTAATATTGGATAAAGGTATAAATAGGTACATAAATTATAAATGCATATTGTATTATATAATTTATTTTTGTATTAATGTATAATAAACAAAAATGTGTTTATGTTATATAATATAATTTAAGCCAATCTAATTAATTTTTATTACTTTAATTATTAAACCATAAAATAATAATGCTAAAATATAATAAAGTACATTTGTTTAACAATATGATTAATAAATATAAATTGTACAATTTTTCTAAGAACATTCATTAAGACAATTATATATATATTAAATATTATGAAATTAAGACAATATTCATTAAAAATTATATTTATGACACTATTGAATATTATAATTGAAGTAATTTTTTAGTATTGATTTTCAAATTTTATGATGTTATAATTATAAGTGATAAATATGTGGTTAAATAAATTAGTGTTTATTATTTTGTTATTTGTTTTACATCTATAAATAATTAATATTACTTCACTAATAAGTTAATAATATTTGTATATTCTTTTTTTATTTTTAAACAAAAATACCTATCCAAAATAAATTATCAGAATAAAATGGTGCATTAAATTGTAAATGTTTGATATATTTGTTATATTAAAAATAAATGTATACAGTAATATCATGTAGCTATTCTGCAATAAAATTAAGGTACATGAACCAATCATTAGGTATATCATGTAGCAAAAGTATTACATAATATGAAAGTTAATTAACTTAAAGTATTTTAAATTCATTTTAATTAAATGAGTTTCTAAATTATAAAACTGTTATTAAAATAATAATCCCATTAAAAAATCATTATTAAATAATAAAAATAAAAAAGGTATTTTGAAAAAAAAATGATTCAAATTGAGAAAACTAATCAAGCTTTGATTAGTTCTAAAAAATGTGTACACTTTCTATAAAAATATGATATAAAAAAACATACTAAACTATGTATTCACTGTTCTCTATATAAAAAAAAGAGAAAAATAATATTTTGTATTAAAACTAACAAAGAATTAAATTTAAGTATAAATAAATATAATTGGATAGTATAAGCTACACAAATAAATGAAAGCTGTAAATGCAATTAATGTGATTTTACATTCAAGTGCAAACAAACAGTTAATACAAATAAAAATAAATTTAACATGCCAAAATGTAAAATCAAAAATTGTATATTTGGAATTTATTTATTTTTTTGATCCTTCTCAAAATTTATTTCGTTTTAGTACTCCCTTGAAGTTTTTTTCTTTCTGGTTCTTCATTCAGTTTTTTTCCATCTAGTTTGTTAAGTTTTTCACTTTCTGGTTCATTTTTTAGTTTTTTTCTTTCTGGTTCATATACTTCTTCTTCTTTAACATGTTTTTTATCTTCTTCATCAATATAGTCTTTACCAGAATATAATACTGTTAATAGTTTATATTTTAATTCATTTCTCTGTTTTTCTAATTTGCTCAGGTATGGATCATTTTTAGATGTAATTGTTTCTAACAATTGTCTGATGGTAATATGATTTATATTACCATTTATTTTTTGTTGATGCAAACTTTTTATTAAAGATTTTTTTTGGTGATCCAGTTGTGGTAATAAATCTTCACATAGCTCTAAGGCATTAGCAGCTGCATTCATTTCAGCATTGTGTTTATTCTGACCATTTCCTATTGATATCCTAACACCTTTAAAGTAAACACCTACTGTATATTTTAGGCAATGGCCTGGCCCTGTAATTTCAATGATTTTGTAATTGGGTATTTCAACTTGTCCATTGTGAAAAGATTTTATAGTTTGAAAACATTGCTGTAGTTTTGATTTAGGATCATTCCAATTTTGTTTTACAATGGCATTCGGCAGACGGGGGAAAAAACAAACTTTACAAAATACCTGACAGTGTTTAAGACCTTTGTCTAAATACAAAGCACCAATAAATGCTTCTAAAAAATCAGCTTTATCTTTTATTTGTAATTCTGATATTCTATTTGAATGGATTGCATAATTGATGATGCCCAAATCATTGCACACAGCAGACAGAGATTGATTATTTACCAAAGAGCTACGAAGTAGTGTCAAATGACCCTCATGATGATCTGGATAATACTTGTATAAATAGTCTGATGTTATAAACTGTAGAACACTATCACCAAGAAATTCAAGACGTTGGTTTGATCCAAGGGTTAAATTTGTAAAACCCACGCTTTTGTGAGTAAATGCCTTCGCCAAAAGTCTTATATGATTAAATTTAACACCTATAGAATCTTCATACTTAGTTAATTTTTTGAGAAATGGTGATATTTTAATACACTCACGGTCACCATTTGGGTTTTGTTGTTGTAATGGATGCTTAGGGTAATTCACCCATATTCTAAAATGTTCTGGTGAATCCTTGTACAATATTTTTCCAAATACACAATCAGCAGCTTCTATTCCACCATCTAAAAATATTGCTCCTATTAAAGCTTCAAAGCAATTAGCCAGTACTTTTGCATGTTCGAAACAGTAGCATAAATCTGCACCATGAGCATATAACATATAATCTTCCAATTTTAAATTTCTTGCCAAAAAAGTGAGATGTCGATTTTCCACAAGGGCAGACCGATATGTTGCAAGGCCACCTTCCTCAAGATCAGGAAATATACTAAACAAATGTATAGTAGTCACAAACTCAATAACAGCATCACCTAAAAATTCCAAACGTTCATTATTTTTAGAATTTGATTCCATTTCTTCCATTTCACCAAACCGTGACATTGTATATATAAGGGTTTTTAATCCTCTTTTCCTTTTAAACATACTATTTTGTCTATCTCCATATTCTAGTTGTCGCATACCACAATTTGTAAGAGTATTTCTTATATGATCCGAATTTGTACCAAAATTTTCTCGATAAGATGAATGAGTTAAAGCTAGCTTAAGTAAATTCTTGTCTTTGAATTTATATTCTATTGATTTTTCTAAGTACTCCAAACTTTTATAAAATTTAAAATGTGACACAAGTATTGGTAAAAGCATAGCATGTTGAGCTACATCACACATGAGACCAGTTTTATAAAATCCTTTACTACTAAAAGCAGTTGTGACTGTACGTTTCATTTTATTNTCTTTTTCATCCTCAGGTGATGGATCAATCTTATTATCAAGAAGATGCTTAATTTTGAGATAATCTTTGCTGTATTTTTTAAATTCTTTATTACCAACATAACATATTTGTGCTGGTCTTATACCAAAATGAACTACAACTGGATATAATTTGTCTTTTTTGTCAATAGTATCCTCTTTGTTTTCTCTATCTAGTTGATCAACACGTATTGAACTTGGTTTAGTTTCTGGGTTTGTAATAATCATATCTTTATATTCATCTACTATAACTTGCCATTCATCACTAGACATTTGTTGTAAAGCAGGCAATGAGTTTTCTTCAAAAAGTAATTTATTGCTATTTAAAAGATATTTAAGAACATTACTCATGGAAAGTAATTCTTTTTTATTATTTGACAAATCTCTTACAAATCGAGGCATAAAATGAAATTGAGGGCATCCATCTGTATTGTGTATAACATTTGAATCAAAATCCACTAATTCTAATATGTCTTTAAAGAAAAAGTCATAAAATAGTGTCAACTCTTGTATAATAAAATTATCTGGAATCTTTTCTTCAATGTATATAATAGTATAATGAGTATTGAACCGGGTAAAGGTGCATGTTGGCATTGTGGGAATAGGATAATGTGATAGCAATGAAAACCCTTCAAAAGTGTAATTATTATGTTTATGTTTAATAACTGTAGGATATTTATGTAAATAATTTGTAAGTGGAGTAATAGTAATTCTATAATGATATAATTTGTCCGCATTATTTGTATTTGGCAAACAAGATTCAAATGGTACTTCACCAACATAAATATTGTGGAGGATACCAAGATTTTGTGAACTGGGACTACATTTGCAAACTGGCCCATCATTTAGTTCTCCTAATTCGTTATACCAAATGTCTGGATGCAGCCGGTCAGGATGGGCACATTTCAAAGCAAGTTCTTTTAATTTGTCATTTTCACAATCTGAATCTTCATCACTTGAACTAAAAGAATCACTGTTTTCACAGTTTTCATCTTTTGAACACTTACACTTATACACTTTAAAATTTTTTTTATGATCCTTGTTATAAACTGGTTTTGATGCATTCACATGTGTGGCACGTTTTCCTAAAACTCTTTCAAATTCATTGCATATTTCTAGTGGCATAAAAATTGACCTTTTGAACTTTTTCTTATAAAATCCAGATTCAGATGAATAATAATATTTTTTTTGTTCAATAGCTATTATTTGATCAAAAGACAGTTTTTCAGAAAATTTTTTTGTTACAAATGATTTTGTTGCTCTAGGCAATATTTTTGAAATAGTTTTTGGATATCTGGTATTCATAGATTGATTTTTCCGAGAATAATTTTGTTTTGAATCAGTTTGATGAGTGTTAGGTACCAATGAGATGTTACATGTAAAATTGTTTAATGAATTATTTAAAAACTTACTTGTTAAATTAAACCATTCATCAACTTTTTTTGAACTAGATGTATGTTGATTGTTTGAAGAACAAACTTGTGATTCATAATTAATGTTTGATAAATTAACTTGTGAAGGCATATTATATTTAAATTCATTGACTCTGTAGCTTGTAGTAGTGTTTAAGGACATTTGCATATTTAAATTTGTTGCATTAATGACATTTACATTTTGATTTGGTGAAATTACATTATTATATGAATTATATTTTGTAGGTTCAATGGTAGTTTGCATACTCTGTTGAATGTAACCATCATTACTAAAACTTGCATTAAAAGTATTAATTGATGGAGAAATATGAGTTATATCATTAGGTATCAAAAAACCATTATTAATTGGCAATTGACAAGTTGTAGATGTACTATTGTAATAATAATTCATACCACTGTTTGAAAATTGCTGCATATTATGTCCATTGTTATAGTTGGATTGATGAGGAACCATTGATTGATTTTGCTGGTGATTAATTGATGGGTTATAAAATCCATTGGGCTGCATTATGTATAGCGATAATGTTTTTTTCTTTGTGCTTCACGAAAATAATTTATATTTCAGCATGAAATATAAAACATTAAATTACCATGATTCATTTTTAGAATTGAGTCTGAAAAAAAAAGTTTTTTGATAATATTATATTGAGATTTAAATATTTTTTATTTTATATTCAAATTAATAATTTTTACCAATATTACCAAAAGTTTTTATATACTTTAAACTGACATTTAATAATCTTTTTATAAAAATGATAATTATTTTAACATTAATGAAACTAATTAAGATTTAGATATTATGGCAAAATGATAGGTACATACTTATTCTTAAAGTAACTTATATTTTAATAATTTCAATTGCAATAATTTTTACTTTGTACATTCAATTGGAAATTCCTAAACATGTTCTCAGAAATATTATAATTGAAATCTGAAATAATGGAATTTATCAAAATGGCAATAGAATTATGCTTATCATACTAATAGTAGAAAATAGTTTTCCAGTGATTTCATTGTACATAAATATTTGAAATCAAGAATAATGGCATAATGGAATTTGTTAAAATGACAATGTAATATGCTTGTCTTCAATGATTCCATTGTACTATAAATATTTATAATATTCTACAAGTACTTTTTCCAATAGTTCTAAAAAATATATAGTATATAATTAAAATTTTACAATAACAAAATTAAATATTGTTCTGAATATTTTTAAATCTGAGTTCACTAAGTATTTTTTGTTTTTATTATAATTTAAATAATTGAAAACTAATTTAAGGGAATACAAACAAACCTAATTAGTTATTTTTGGTATATTTTGAGTTTTAAATGCATTTAAAATCTAAAACTACAATGTCTAACAATTTTTCCCACTAATTTTGTCAATAAACTATTAAGTTTGAATCTAGGTCAGTCCCCCTTTATATTTCCCCTCTACATACTTCAGATATTTTTTCCAATATTAATAAAATGTAAAAACATACAATATTTGTACATAATAAAATCAATTTATTTAATATACTTACTATGAATAAATAAAAAATGTGTAAGTGTAAGTATATAAATAAAAAGATAACAAAAAATAGACAATAAATATAACACAATAATAATGTGATAAATAACACAATAAAGATACATTTAAGACACTATCAATATATTTTGTATTGAATTTTTAATAGTAATTAAACTAAATTTTTTGATAAAGAAGTACTCAAATATTTAAATTATTATGCTAAATTTAGATGATTAATACTATATTTTTTTAAAACCTTTTTTTAGATATAACAAGTAGGTATCAAATAATAGAACTATATAATCATAAAATAGTATTTTAAAAACATTTTGTACAGATTTTTTAATTTTTCTGTGGCAAACATTTGTTATTATTATTATCATCATTTACTATAGTAAAGTGTAAAAAACTAGGGTGGGAGGGGGATTAACCTAGTAATGTTATATTTTGAGGAGAAAATGTCAGAGAAATATGATTGAACATAACATAAAATACACGCATAAATGAACGCGCAAAATTAACTAAATCCCAATAAAATTTACTACTTTCATAATACTATAATATTATGTTAGTTTAAGTTACATACAATAATAATAATAATAACAGTATTTAGTGTTCACAATGTTCCATAAAGATTTACTAATTTGAAACAATGAAGTGATGAAATCAATTTTAATTTGCATCATTTCAAATGAGTAAATCCTCGCGGCCCGAAAGCACCGATTGTTAGAATAAAGTCAATATTTTTAATAACTGAAAAAAGTATAATTACTTATTTTTGTGTAATTGACGAAGATTTTGACCACGCGTACAAAATACCGACATTAAATTTCCAAACGGCAATTACTACCAGATGAATAGATAATCGGTTTTCGGAAACGTCTTGAGTAGTCGAACAAAGTTATCACAAAGGACGGGCCACAACTATGCAAAAGTAATTATTTTTTTTTTTTTTTACAAACTATACATATGTTCGTTATCATTTATTTCGATCGGGCTATGGTTAAAACCATATATATATTATGTATTATTTTACATTACATCCGTCCTGCTGAAATTTCATGGAATAAATAGCCAATAGGAGGTTCCAGTGTGACGTTGTGTTGTTTGTTCGCGTGAGAAAATAAACATTCGTTGTTTACACTGTATTCACCGTGATTCGTTTTAAATTTCTAGATAGATTGGCACGGCAGCTGCGGACAATGGCTAAAAAAAATGAAAACTAGAGGTTCTTTGTGTTAATATGTTTTTACCAAATATATCAACACAAAAACATAACAAAAATGTTCACAATATATTTTAAAACTGATATTATGTTATTCATTTAAAAGCTAAAGAGTAAACTAGTAAAGACACTATTACTCATAATCGTCGCTCCCGCAGTGTCAGATCAATCTATTTGTCATTGACTGTATGCACTTTATTTATTAATATAAGTTTTTCTGTTTTCCGAAGTAATCTTTGCCGTCATACATATGATATGTACGATTATGTGTGGGAATATATAATCATGTAAATAGATGAATAGAAAATTTGAAATCAAGGGTTAAATAAAAAATATTTCATTTTATTAGATTAGAATACTATGTGATAAACTCATGTTCATTGGTTAATGATCAATGTCCATTTGAACCTAATCATGTGTGTGTCATTTTAATTACTATTTTTATTCCAATTTTGATCCTATGTTGATACCATACATATTAAATGGATAATTCTTTTAACTTCCCATTTTAATCCCAATCTATACATATTAAAGCTATATAGTTAAAAAAAAACATTATTTCTATTATGTTTAAAATACGAATAATAATGTAATAAAAAATGATAAAACACATTTAACTTATTAGCATTATTAACGGATTTATTTATGTAAATCTAATATGAACCGTTCTGCTTATATATTACTAAAAAATATAATTAAATATATAGATAAATGTGAGTGTATAAAATACTACTAGAAAAATACTACTAAAATACTAGTAGAAAATATTAATAGAAATTAATTTTACATTATAAACATAAAAAGACATCCTAGGATAATAGGGATGGGTACAGCCACTGTTATAGATAATTTAATGTATTTTTATATAAATGTATAATTTATGAATATTTAATGTACCTATAAGCCACGAAAAACCATTGCTTACGAAAAAACGATTTTGAGTCGATATCAGTTGACTTAATTATATAAAATAATTACATGATATGCATTAAACATTTCCTTTTATAATATTTATTTAATATTGAACCCATTTTCCCGTTTTCCCGTTTTTCCTCTGTTTTTCCAATATATTGAGAAAAATCCTGACAAAATTGAAAAATTATCTTCTTAAAGTACCCCATCAGATTTTCTTTCAGAAAAAATGCTACACTTGTAAATCGGATCAATATTTCTGATAGAAAAGTTATTCACAGATAAAAAACAAATTAAAATAAATATTATTGTAAAACCATAAGCTTCTTTGATCCACTCAGAATTTAAAAATGGATATGAAATATTTATTGTACCTACCTACCAGTTTAATAAAATAATAATTCTTATTACTAATGCACAACAGTTTTTTAGGCTGAACTCGGCTTATTAATTTCAAGTAGTAAGATTCGTTTAAGAAACTACAAGAACTAAAGCAAATATGTTAGGTTTTATTCGTGTTCTTGTAGCTTATGTAAATCTATGTACAACATACAATTTTGAATTTATAAATTTAAAAAAAGACGGCCATAGTACATTCTTATAAAAGGTACAAACATAATTGTTTACAAAATATTACCTTAGTAACAAATTATACATGAAATTATATTTACATAATGTACATTAATGTATACAAAGGCAGATTGGCAGGCCCCTTCCTAAAGGGGGGAAGGTAGTAGGTACTCTGTGGATGAAATTGTTAGACCAAACAGAAATGCTTTAGAATTTGACATGAGGTTCATTAAAAGTAGTATTTTGTGGTAAAAAAAAATTAGTTTTAAATATTTATCGAAATGAAAACATTAATATAGAAAATATTGTTGATCAAACAGCTTGCAAAACACAGCTTCAAATATAAGTATTTTGGACTTGTATATCTAACTTTTATTAATTGTTATTATTATTTTTTTTTTTTGTTATTCATTTTATCATTATTTTAATTATTATTCATTTAATGTGAAAAAAATTAATTTAACTTAAATTATACTGTTTTACTGCATTTCCACAATATATCTACAGCCTTCTAGGCTAATACAAGTTGAAACGATATCAAACATAAAAATTTTAAATTTTTGTTGACTAAAGCGATGGTATTCAAAAGTAAAAACTCTTCATATATATATAAGTAATAAAGGGGGATTCTGATACAGCCAGGTAATTTCATTTTTAAAAACTAATTTCAGATCTCCATTCACATTGTTTTCACATTATCCTTTGTTCACATACTTATATTAAAAAAAATGTTTAAAAAAATTAAAATAAAAATAATATTTAAAAAATTAATTTCTTATCTCTATTCACATATATCCATATGTTCATAAGGTTATATTCTTATATCAAAACAAGAGAAATGTGTATTTATTATTTTTAAAGGTTTGAAAAAACTATTTTCACATAAACATTGTGCTTGAAACAGTTCTCTTAAAAAAAATAAAAAATATTATAATATATAACGCATCATGTGTATAATAGATCATTTATCAAAAATAACTTATACTAAAATCATTATTCTATTTTATTATTTGTTTTTGTTAAATTAGCAAGATATTCTTTGATATTTCCTTTTTTATTTTTGTTGAAAAATGTCCCCAATCTACAGTATCAATACCATTTTCTAGAATATTTCTTTTATCATCATATGCACTAAGAGCTTTTTTGTTTTGTTCAAAAGTATAAATATTACGTTTATCTGTTCTAAAAGTGTTCTGTTTTACATATTTTGGATTTTTTCTTTAAATAGTTATAAAAATCATTAAAAAAAATTAATTTTTAACCATGGTTTTTTTTCAATTTCATT